AAGGGACAGTGATGAAAAATAATGAAAAATAATATGCAGGTATAAATCTTAAAAACTTTAATGTGGCAGGCATGTAAAGCACCAAATTCCACATAAAATGCTGACAATTTGATGCTTCTATCTCCAACCCTTCTTGAGTTATATAACAAAACACCTCAAAACTGTCCCTTAACACCCCGTTTTACGGTATTCATATCTATCCTAAACTAAACTAACCTAAACTTACCTAACCTAATCCAACCCAACCCAACCACCCCAACCAGCCCAGCCCAGCCCAACCCAGCCCAGCCCAGCCCAGCCCAGCCCAGCCCAGCCCAGCCCAACCCAACCCAAAACCTACAGTCTAAAACCTAGAGCTAAAACCTGCAGCCCAAACTGGAAAACATCCATATGGTACGCCGGACGCCCGTGAAGCCGTCATGCGCCGAAGTTCGGCGCAAGCTATTTTGCAATTTGCGCTGAAATTTCTGCATTATTTGCGCCGAAGGTTAGTGCCCTTTTGCGTCAAAATTAAGCCACTTATACAAAAAGCACGTTTACATCTGCTGGCCAAGGTTTTATAAACCAGACAGAACGCTCTGGGCCTTAACCACTCCTGACTCCCATGTTTGAGCGTCCAAATTAGTTGATGTTTCCATGGAAGCTGAATACCACAATACGTGTAGCGCACTGTAGCATCGTGCCGTGAAATAAGGCTCGGGACGGAAGTTCCGGGGTCACAAAAATTGGTGTGGCGGTGTTGTCGCGGCTGGCGGGCTCCAGCAAGGGGTTTAAGTTTACGACACCACTCTTGTTTCAGGAGAGGTGTCAGCGATTCGAGACTACTTGGGCATGCGGGCAGCGGGGTCGGCGTGGCTGCCTGCGGCTGCGGCCACACATCTTGGCGTCCTGGAGGCGGAGATGCTGATGGTGGCATGAGTCATCACTGGCTGCCCGATTTCCATGCTCCAAGACTCGCCGTGAGGGCCGAGGCGGGCGTCGTGCCGATGGAGAGATGAGGAGGGATGCGCTGGCATCGCGCCTACTGGCGAAGGCGCTCTCCCTCCCGTCGGAGGACCCGCCGCGTCGTGGCGGAAGCCCCCCCCCCCAACCGTGACTGAAGTCAGTGACCGGCTGGAGAGAGCGCGGGGGAGCGGTGTGGGACCACTGGAGTGGCGCTGCCCGCCGAGGCGCGCTTATCCACGAGACTGCCCCCGTAGACGCCAACAGACGGCGTCACGGTCCACCTGGACCTGCTGCCGATCGGGGCGTCCGCGACAGCGAGGAGGAGTGCTGCGGAGGCGTGACTGGGAGCGCTCCCCCAGCGTGCGACGTGGGCCTGGGTCGACGGGTCTGCGACCGGGGGAGTAATAGGAAGGCGGCGCTGGGGTCCTCACCGAGCACCCAGACAGTACAACATTGGTACTGCGGGAGGCGGCGGGGAGGATTTGCTCCATTTACCGATCTGAGATGGTGGCGCCCAAAACGGCAAAGCAACATCTCCTGAAGCGCCCGTCCTTCGAGGAAGACCCCATAATCATTTGCTCCGACTCGCAGGCGTCGCTGGCGACGCCACGAGGTGGACAAGTGGCCCAGACACCCCCCCCCCCTCATCCCCTAGGTGCCGTCATCTGGGAGTATATGATGGCCCTAGTGGCTGTAGGGGGCCGAAGAATCCACCATAGAAGGAGGGCGGCGATAGCCCGATTAAGCTGGGCGTCCAGTGGAGCCTCGGCTCTATCATGGGCATTGGGCAAGGACTCTGCGAGCACCCCCGTCTCCTCCATCTTCGACGGCACTCCAGTCAGAATGCTGTCCCCACCCGAGTTTCCCAGCAGCATGGGCCACATGAAACCGAACAGCGCCGAGCCGCTCGACGCTGAGGACCAGGCGAGAGTAACAGTGAAAAGGTGAAACGCTCGAAACGGCGCGCGCCGCCGGCCGAGGGCGCCGAGCCGGCCCAGGCCGGCTGCGGGTCAAACAGAAGCCGTCTCCGCGGCGGCCGCCCAGTGACAGCGACTCGGACTGACGTCGAGGCACCGCTGCCGCCTCCGCCGACCAACCCGCCGCCCAGCAAGGGCAGTTTGAAGGCGGCTGCGCCGGTGAAGGTGGCGCGGCCTGGCAGGGGCCGCGGCCGGCCCACTCCCAGCTACCCGTCCCGCGAGGTGCTCAGTACCACCGACTCGTCCGATTCTGAGGCAGCGCCGTCGGCGGGCCGCCGCCAGCAGTGACGACGACCGGCTGGCGGCGTTCGCGCGGGACTTGTCCGACTCCTGGTACTGGGACTTGCCGCCCAAACTGGACGCCGGCGGCGTGAGCACCAGCAACGCCAATAAAAAGTCCACCTTCATCCGGCTCTTCTCGCACCGTGTCAAAAGGACTACGCCGCGCGGCCGGCCGGCCAACTCGAATGAGCGCAGCGAAGGGCACACGTCCCCGACGGCGGCACTGGCGCCTCCCGCCGCGCCGCTGCCGGCGTTGCTGGCAACGCCGATCCAGGCCCATCGATTTCTACTGTTTTGTTGCCTACGTGCCGCTGCCGCCGCTCAGCCAGCACAATGGCGTGCCGGTGTTGCGCTGTCGGATCGAAAAGCGGCTCGTGCAGCGGACGGACGGGTGCGGCCCGCGCGATGAGCCGCCGCCGCACACCGAGCTGCGCCGCGCGGACGTGAAGGTGGAGCTGGCAGCGGCCTGCTCAGTCCCCTCAACGGCGTCGACCGGCTCTCCGGCGATTTGTGGTCAGAAACGCCGCCGCTTCTGGGACCAAGGTGTCAGAGCGCGGCGCTGCCCGTGAGACGTTAAGTTAGCACAGGCAATGTCGTCTGCACTCCTTGCAGTTCATGTTGAATACACAACCATGTTGCGAAGTAATAGGCGCCGGGTTTTTCAGTTCATAGAACTTTTTCCCTGGCTATTACACCCCACAACCGAACACTGACACCTTGCACAAGTATGACTGTGTGTATGAATGTTAATAAATACATGAACCAATGTTGTGTTTTCGGTTCCAGTACCTTCTTTGGGCACCTCGGCAACAAGTAAGTAATCCGTTAGCTTTGCCACACCTAAGATAGGCTCCCACGTTGTTATTTGCTCCCGGGTTAACATAAACCGGTTTAACGTAACTTTTGCATCCCGGCCAAAATTGCCGGTTAACTGTCCCACCGCTCGAGACTGGCGCTAGGCTGGCCGAGCAAAAAAAAAAGTTTGTCCGCGGCTTCGTCTTATTCGCAGCTGCTGGACACGGGGGAGGGGGAGGAGGGGCCGCATCGGACGAAAAGCGGGCTCTGGTATTAACTGGATTTTTTGCCAGCTGGCGCCGTATGGTGGCGCTAGCAGAGCTTCTTACATATCAATGCTAGATATAAAAGAATGAATATTTACCAATCAATTTTTCATTTAAAGCCATTTGAAATATTTATGTCCATCCTACTACCGCGCTTAGGTATATCTAAAATTAAATACCTTTCGTGCGTCGCCAGCTGGCCAGCCAGCTGACGCAATCCAGCTTTTACCAAAGCCCCGAAAAGCGATGACGTGAGCCCTAATATTGGCTTCACCACACAATTTGAGCCCTCAAACTGGAATCAGGTGAGCTCGAAAATGGGGATCAGGCTGAAAACTGGTATCATAGTGAGACTAGTTTTAGAGCTTGACACCGATAATGGGTACTGACTGAGCTCTGTTTCTGCGATCAATGATACCGATTTAAGGGATCGTATGAGCCCATGTGGCGCTAGCTCAGAAAGTATTCTCGAAATGTGCTGTCTGTTTTGAATATGGTACATTAGCCCGAAAACTGGTCTCTGAGCCCGAAAATCGGGACACTGTTTTCTCAGTGGACGGTCTCGATCAATCCGTGGAGTCGATCGAAAATAAAGCAACAATCCTGCAGCGCTGTTCCATTTCGACCGAGCGACAGACATCCTTTACAGGACTTTTCTACTGTGCGAAAGCCGTCCCGGACCAAACTATTCTACAGAACGATAATCGTCTGAAGGACTATTCTACCAAACGATAGTCGTCTCGGACAGTACTTTTTTACCGAACGATAGTCGTCTTGGACAAGACTATTCTACCGAACGATAGTCGCCACGACAGGACTACGAGTATTCTACTGAATGATGACTGTATGTACCCTTAGAGCAAAGGTACCGTTTCGTCGTATGTATGTAAATAGCGGCCGTTCCACGGAACACTAATTGTCTGTCAGTCTCATTCCTTCCACCATGAAGGACGGCCGTTTCACCGAGCGATAATTGTTCGACGGTACTGTTCTGCCGTATCTATGTGAAATCTATCGTAAAGAACCGCGGTTTATCCGAACAGTAGCTGTCTAACGGTAGTCAACTGATGTCAATTCCAGATACCTACTTTGGAAACCGATACCGACCGAAGTCATTAAACAATACCAAAAACCAAACGAGCATAAGATATTGAGAATTTATCAGATTAGATCATCGTATTCACTATCGAGGCTTCATAACAACTAACAAACATGCCTAAAAAATGCAAATTTTGAAATAACAAATATCAAGGTCGTTTCGGTTTGGTATCGGCATGTCGGTGCCGACACCGGTTTGATTTTATCGTTAGTATCGGTTTTGCGGCGTTAGACTATTATTCCGTGGTATCGGTAAGTGTAACCGATTGATATTACTAGACGTTACCGTTCACCGAACATGTTTGACGGTACCGCTTCACCGACGATTACTGACGAGGGGCGATACTGTTCTGGCACCGAATAAACAGAGGCCGTTCCATTGAACGGTAACTGTTTGACGGCGGTTGGTAACGTTCTATCAAAAAGTCCCAATCAGTGAACGAACATAAAATGGTAATTCGCTCAGCGGTCCCGTTTCGTGTTCATAAGTCAATGCATACATAAAAAACTAATCAACCCAGAAGATAATTCAATAAATCTAAAATCACACAACTCAATACAAATAAAATGACTAGCTGCGGCCATCTAGCGATGTCTGTGCCCAATGCCAATCGATGCCGATTCCACTCGTACTGACTGGCAGCAGACGAGCTGATTGAGCGCCGAGTCCATCTTCTCGATCGAGGGGAACATGCCGTTCAGCTTGACCTCGGCGGATTCAGCTGCCTTTTTGCCAGTCTTCTCCTCCCACAGCCGAAGTGCCTCCTTTATCATCATACTTGTCGCGCTGCAATTAAAACGGAGACAATTACACTACGATATATTTAACAATGATCTCACCGAAATTTGTTTGGTGCCAACTTTATAGTCACACAGTGCCTAAGCGGCGTTCGAAGTGTCAAAATCATATGAGGAGAGTACCTCAGTCATTTTTCGACCAGGTTAAAACAATATTGGTTAAAGGAAATAGTTCACTTTTAACATGGGGGTTTTGAACTGGATTAGGGGTTCCGTAGCTTGAGCTGAGACAAGCACAAATCAGGAGCTTTTACGGCCCAACGATCAGATCACCCTAGGCAAAGATATTCCATTTCTCGTCCAGAAAAAGGTGCCTTGCTGAGGAATGTGTGCCTTGCAGGGGTCAATTCCCTCTTTTAACCCGCGAGTTGCTGGGGGGGGGGGGGGCGTTGAACGCCCCCACTTTTTTCGCCGCGCTATAGCATAAAAATGCGCCAAATTCTAGGTACCTGTAGGGAATTTATTGAAGTTTGTTGTGCCAGTTTCAAAAAAAAAAAAAATCGGTCGGAAAAATTTTGAGATATTGAGGTTTTAGTGACGTCATGATTTCTGAGTTTTCAACCAAAAACGGCATATGTTCAAAAAATCATATAAGATCACAGAATAGACATACAGACATCGCGGCGCTGTTGGTCTAGTCTAGTGCAAGATCTAGTGGCTCCCGAAAAAAATGGGCAAAGTTTTACCTTTGATGACCTTTGGTAACCGGACCTTTGACCTGACCTAAAAAAAAATGGCTGATGCACCTAATTTCGTCATTTTTAACGTTCTATCGAGTGCCGCCTACACGTGGCCCAGGAGCCGAGTTAGAAGGGAGGGGTGCTCTGCTCACCCTCCCCCGCCCCAGCGATGTTCTTTAAACTACTCCCAGCAGGGCGTGGAAATCCAAGAGCCCCAGCGGGGCGCGGACTCCCGATTTGAGGTCGTCGTTATGGCTTCTGATTCTCCTATGTGGATAAACGTTTCAGAATCTTGTCACTCTCATCAGCTGCCGACAGTTCCAAATCGCTAATCGATCACTAATCGCAGCTACCTAATCGCTTAGTTGATATAGCTTAGCTGCGACTTGGCTGCGACGGGCATTTAGGTACCTACTTTTTTACGGTGAGGTCACGACGTGACCTGGTGACCTGCAGTCAGAGTCTTGCACTGACCTGGGCCTGAAAATTTCACAACAAACAGGCGCATCATAAGGCATCGGAAAATGATCCCGCTTTTTAAATTTCACAAAGGGGGGGGGGGCGAAAACTATCTCTAGGAACATTGGTGAAAACCAGAGCCCCCGTCGAGGCTAGTGCCTGGCAAGTACGGCGCCGGGCACCGGCAAGGGTGCGGCAGAGGGCAACAAACAAGTAGGTACAGGGTGTCCCAAAATTAATGTCACACCCTCCCACAACCTTTGTTTTGCCTTCTACTGCGCAATGTCAATACAATGTCACCGGTACTGGCTCCCATACCATATTGGCTGCATTCTAGTCACGTGACCTTCGAATTTTTGCGACCCTGACCGGTCAAGGGGTTACGGAGGTCATTTCCGGGGCAGTACCCAGCGCGCGCGGACCAGGTGTCCAGGATGGCGAAACTGCAGAGCAAATCGCCCCGCAGCGGGGCAGTCGGCATGGTTGCTGGTGGCATGACCCACGGCCAGGTCGCCGAGGTACTGGGCATGAGTTGTCGCACGATTTGGCGCTGGTTATCACGCGACAGAAGCGGATAGACGCCTGGGAAGGAAGACTTCCGCCAGCCGGGTATAGCGCAGATCGTCATCGCGAAGTGCGGAGCTAAAGACGGGCTTATCCACAAGGAAACTGGCAAGGAGGCTGATTCATCCAGCCTTCAAATTGATAATCCATCGGTACCGGAGGATGTCTCTAAAGCTTAAGCCCAACAATGCCACGTTTCCAGCCAAAAACCTCTGCTGAACATGCCCAGGGCCATCTTTCAACAAGTCGGCGCCCCGGCTCATCGAGCTAGAACGACGAAGGACTGGTACAGTACAGATCGAACTTCCCAGCATTCTGGGAGGACAATTCGGTGAATAGCCCCGACCTGTCGCCGATAGAAAATCTTTGGGCGATCGTCCTGTAACAGGTAAGCAAAACGGCGTTAGGATAACCTGAACGCACGCTGACCAGGAACGTTCGATCTCTCTGGTCCAAGATGATAAGATCAGTCCACAGAAGCTGGACATGTTGATGTCTGATGTCCCGGACCGTATGCTTGCCCGCATCAGGGAGAAGGTGGGATGCATATGTAAGAAAAGTGCGCCTCTGCCCTCTCATGATTGTTATTTTCATGAAATTGACGCTGGGAAGGTGTGACGTTATTTTTGGGACACGGCAAGGCTATATAAACCAGGTAGAACGCTCCCGACGAAAAAGTGGTGACAAGCGATAATTAGTAGCCGCGACCTTTTTTTGTTCAAAACTGTATCCGCAAGCAGCATTTACAGGCTAGCGGAAATCGACCAATCGGCGTTCGGCAATACTCAACGCTGATTGGCCCGATGCTCGTGACGAAATTGCGGGGGACTGCAGCTATTCCCCTATGGCGTTTAATAGACTTACGGCTTTTGAAGGGGATTTATACCAGTTTTTGTTGGGTTTGAGGCCATTTTTGAGCTTGGTTATTCTTTCTGTGACTTTTGACTGTGTAATAACGGCATTTAATCATAACATTTCTATATACTACCGGTGTCACAACGGCCTAAAAGACCGTAAGTACATGGGATAGACGGACCACTGCTGATGGGGCCACACTTGCCGGCGTGTGGTCATTGGAGGCCCATGAGGGCTCGACATAGGCCCTTCATGGGTCGGTATAGGCCCGGTGGGTCCAGTGCAAGCCCATCAGGGGCCGGTGCTGACCCAACAGGGCCCAGTGGCATATAATGTAAGGCCGTCTAGGGACGTTGAGGGCTCATGGGGGCCATATAGGACCATTAGGGACCACATAAGCCAATCAGGGGCCCATTTAGGCCAATAAAGGCACTTCAGGGGACTCGAAGAGGCCATCTAAGAGCCGTGGTGGGGCCATGAGGGGACGGCATTGGTCCATCAGGTGCAGTCAGGGGATGTTGTACGGGTTTCTCAGTGGCCCATTTGGGCATATCAGTAACCAATTTAGACCCAGCAGGGGGCTTTGTAGACCTATCAGGGGCTGGTGATGGTTCATCAGGGGCCAGCGTTAGTCCATCGGGGCACGGCATATGCCCATCAGAGGTAATTGCGAGCCCACGCTGAACAATGATGGCCCTTCAACGGCCCCTAATGGATCTACATTGACCCATGGGCCATGATGTGTCATGTATGCCCCTATGACAGGCCTACTCAGACCCCTGATGGACGTTCCCGGCCTCTGATGACCCTATACTGAATGCTGATGGGGCTCTAAGAGTCTCCTATAACCCTTCGTCAACCCATTATTACCATGCGCTGGCACTAGGGGCCCCACATCAGCCGCAGGGCAGTCCGTGCCATGACAGCATGTCTTTTCGGCCGATATTACATCGGTAATATTTATTAAAATCATGATGTTATGGTGCCATTATATAGCTAACAATCATAAGAAATATATTTCAACTCGAAAACAGCTCGAAACAGCATATAATTTTAAAAGAAACCCCTCCGAAATCCAAAAGCCTATTCGGGTCCATAGAGAATAACTGCGGTCCCCCGCAATTTCGTCACGAGCGTCGGACCAATCAGCGTCGAGTACTGCCGAGCGCTGATTGGTGAATTTTCCGCTAGCGTGTAAGTACTGCTCGCGGAACAAGAGTTCGTCGACAATCCTCCACAAACGTCTGTCACCATTTTTCGTAATGCTAAACAGCCGGAGCGTACCCCCCTGGGACACGGGACACCCTGTAGAGTAGCGTGGGCACAGGAGAACCTGAAAACACCAGAAAAGTGCTCGGATACAACACCACAATTTCACGTAGGCATCTTGATTTCACCCACCAGATCAGCGATATCAAAATCAAAGCAATATGCTCTGACGCCAAGGCCCTATCTCCCGCGCTTTCCTCTTCACTCGCTTCACTCAATCAGTAAACGCTGTTTCCATGGTAACCGAAAATACTGAAGAAATCATGTGACGTCATAGCCGTAACCTTTCCTTAAAATATACATCAACGAAACCAACGAATGTTTTAAGCATTTTCAGGCCAATCTAATAAATATATTTTTTTAATGTATCAAATTTGCTAGTAAGTTTGCTTCAAAAGCAGCTAAAATCAATAGCAACCAAGGGAACAGTTAAACTATTTCCTCCCACAAATAGTGTTTTCCTACGGCAAACAAGTTGTATGAGTGCTGTTCTAGTGTTTATTCGATTGTTTTTTATAATTTTAAAAGCTGAATTCACTTGTAAAGACCGATATTGATTAAGTTGACGTCAGTAAATCGATCCGAACATTTATTCGATTTCTTCACAGTGCAGCTTCATTTCTTTCAACCTTGGAGCGGTTAGTTGTGGATGTTGGATGTTGTGTGTCGGAGTTGTGTGTGCGTATGGGCGGTGGTTGAGAGAAACGCAAAAATATGCCTAATAAGCCTAAAAAAGACAAGGTAAGGTTGAAAAACATTGGTGTGGTCTTTTCTGTAACTATTTTTCCACTTGGTTGAGATGACTTAAGTCATTTTAGGAATCAGCAAGGATGCGGAAGATCGCACTGCGTCGCATTTGTCAAGGATAGCTGTTTTCTTTCCATTTACTAGACATTTTCCTCTTGTAATGTTGCAATCCATTGTTATTCTTTTTTCTTTCCCTGAAAGTTTTCTTGGATTGTATAGTTGTGTCATATGCATTCAAGTTTGAATGTATGGGACAGGTACCTAGGATTTCAGATAAGCCGTAATCACCATGCTTAAGGCCGTTGGTGATTTGTGAGTAGGTACTCAATAATTTCCTTAATATTGTTATAAAATTAAGCAATTGCTCAGAAAATAGTAGGTATATTGGAGCGTTATGCTGTAAAGTGAGAATTATGGGCATGCCATATACTGCACTTTATCTTTGTAAAAGTCCAAGAACGATCAACATCAGTCGATAATTCCTTGAGCTCCTAATGCCTAGCTGCATGAAACACAAAGATACCCATAACATGCTAGATAACTTGCTATAAATTTACAAGAAATCAGTGTAGCATTTTCTTGTTCTTAGTACTTTCAATGTCCCCAGTACTTTCATTCTTACAATCATATGATTTTTCTTTTCTCAGGACTCAAGCAAGAAGGAGTCAGCATCTTCCAATGAAGAGGTATGAAAGCTTGCATATTGTTCTTGTTTTGTTTGTTGTGCTCTTCTTTTGGCTTGTATTACCCCTAGTGGTCATTACTTTGTTGTCAAGTTTAATGCATCATTGGTTTGATGATTACCTACAAATACCTTAATCAGTCTCTCTCTCTCTCTCTCTCTCTCTCTCTCTCTCTCTCTCTCTCTCTCTCTCTCTCTCTCTCTCTCTCTCTCTCTCTCTCTCTCTCTCTCTCTCTCTCTCTCTCTCTCTCTCCCTCTCTCCCTCTCTCCCTCTCCCTCTCCCTCTCCCTCTCCCTCTCCCTCCCTCCCTCCCTCCCTCCCTCCCCTGCACCAAATGCTGTACCACTTTTAAAGATTTGTCTGTCCCGTAGCTCAGTTGGTAGAGTAATGGACTCAGTACTGTAGTGAGAGGTCTGGTTCGAGTCGCCCCCGCACCCGATATATGAAACTCCTGACGAGCCAGGGGATAGTCCGCGGTTGGTGGAAGCACCCAAGATTACTTAACTACTAGGGAACACTACATGATACAAATAATGTTCAATTACTTGGCCAGTTAACCCGCGCCGGGCCGGTGCTCTGAGATTCCGCGCCGGGCCGCGGGGGGTGTCTGAACACCCCCCTCCCCCTTCTAACTCGGCTCCTGGGCCACGTAGCGACACGCGGTAAGCGGCAATCGAAAGAACGTCAAAAATAAGGACGAAAACACTTCGGTTATTTTTTGGGTCAGGTCAAAGGTCAGGTCAACAGAGGTCACCAAAGGTAAAATGTTGACTATTTCAACATTTTGGAAGCTGCCAACGGCTATCTCGGGAACCGATAGAGCTACAGCGCCGCAAAAAAAAGCGCATTCGATAGCCCTTTTACACAACTTTTACAGACCTTTCTGAGTAATGTTCTCAGATTTGACTCAGGTCAACGGTTTAGCCTCCAGAGGGCAAAAACTCCAAAAATAGCCGTTTTTACGAAAAACGTTTTTTCGGCAATAACTTTTGACTCAAAAGAGCTATGACATTACTTTTGCCAGCATCGTGTTCCTCTCGTCGAGACGCGTCGAATGAACTATAATTTGACCTTGAAAGGTCAACTTGAAAATTTGACCTCAGGTCAAGGTCATGACCTGACCGTAAAAGGTCATGTTGCATATCAGTCGATCCGCAACGTCGAGCCGAACACATCTAAGGCGTTTTCAGCGCTCTAGCACCCCTCTATCAGAAGTTGTCATCGAAAAACTGTTAGATTCTGTTCGTGACCTGAGATGACCTCGGGGAAATAACGACGGGTCACAGTTGCCATTTTCTGGTTCAGTGTGTCTATTTTACCTTCATCTCGATGTTTGAGAGTGTCTAAAATAGCGTTCGTGCAAAACAGACGCTTTTCAATTTTCTCCCACTGACTTATAATGGACAGGCCGCAAAATTGACCTGATCTTAGGTCACCGATATCAAAATTCCGAGATATACATTTTATAGATAGTGTTGCTCTAATCAATCGCTGAAAGTTTCAAGGCAATTGTTCAGTCGGTGTAGCTATGACGAGCATTCTTATTTTTTCTGAGGTGAGGTCACTTGGCGTGACCTGGTGACCTGACCTAAGGTGAGCTGGGTCTGAAATTTTCACAACATGTGCGGAAAAGATGCACAAACAGGTGTGCCAAAAACGGCGGCACTCCGCGCCGCCGTTTTTGAGATATCTGCGAAAAACCGCAAGGGGGGTGTTCAAACACCCCCCCCCCGGCCCAGCGCGGGTTAAAGTCGTTGAGTGGGACAGGCTGTGTCCTCATTTGATGGGCATGTTAAACTTTGGCATTTTAACCCGCGCACCGACGGGGGTCTGCGCCAACTTAGTACCGACGGGGGGGGGGCGGATGACCGCCCCCCCCCCTGAGATCTCGAGAACGAAGCAAGATAGCGACAAGCGGTAAACGGCATCGGATACGCACGGTCAAGATCTACAATTTTTACTAAGGTCATTTTCAGGTCAGGTCAAAGATGACGTCACAGGGGTCGAAAAAGTCAAAATGGCGGCGCTAAATATGGAGAGAGTTTTTCTCGAATAACTTTCGAATTAGTCAAGATAGGAACAAACTAAGGGCATCATCGTGATCCTCTCGTCAATCCGCATCGAATGATATATATGTTGACCTCGAAAGGTCAAGGTCAAAGGTTGACCTCAGGTCACGTGACCTCGAGGTCATCATGTATATCATTCGATGCGTCTTGACGAGCTGAACACAATGAGACCATCCACGCGTCTGTATCTTGTTCCTGTACGGAGTTATTGGCCAAAAACCTTTGGTGACCTTTGATGACGTCACATGACCTCACAGCTGCCCAACAGCAAAACAGACCTCAAGGTAGTGAAGGTTGATCGTATATGAAGTCATGTATGGTATATGGGGCCATTCCGACCCGTTTTAGTGGTAAAAACAGAGAGTTGATTTTTCCCCCATTGACTTATAATGGGGAGGTCGCGAAATTGACCTGACCTTAGGTCACCGATATCAAAATTCCGAGATATACAAATTGTAGCTACTAATGACCTAATAACATCCTGCGACTTTCAAAGGCCTCCGACATCTACTGTAGCTCTGGCACGGTGACAAAGTTGCAAAAAAGTGACTTGAGGTTGGGTCATTCAAAGTGACCTGGTGACCTGACCTTGAAAGGTAGGAGGTTCAAACTTGCACACCATGTGTAAAATTGATGAGGTTATAGTCATACCAAATTTCGCGGCGCTACGCGCCGCGGTTTTCCCGCTATTCGCGAAAAACCTCAGGGGGGGGGGGGGCGGATATCCGCCCCCCCCCCGTCGGTGCGCGGGTTAAGGGGCCGGGCCCTATGCAACAAGCACTGTTTAGCGCGGGCTTTGGCTCTGTCAATCTGATCATTCACTCATTTGAGTTTTTAATGAACTTTACTTTCTTAGAAATTTTCAAAAAAAAAAATGGAACGATCACTGTGCTAAACCACTTCAATTTTGACCGTGACACTCAATTTCGTTTAAGACATTCAAACGAGAGATGACGTCACAGTTCATTTATGATGTTTGCCTTTTGTCCTGAAAATGTGCCGGGATACAGCACGCTTTATGGCCAATCTATCACGATAAGCTGTGTCAGTGGTGTAGCTGATACGCCAAGCCCGCGCCCGGCTTGTCTAGTCACCGAGGAGCGTAACCGCTTTGTGATTGGCACTGTAACCGCAAGAGAGCTCTCTATGTTAAAAGCTTCTCACTGCTGTCTAACATGCTATTTTGGGGCTTTTGGGGACTTCCCACTTTGCTCTGCTTTAGCTACGATTAATACTCATAAGACCAAGTTTTTTTAGCTTTGGCATAGATGAGAAATACATTTCTCATCCATTCCCACAACACACGGCGTAATGCTTGATTATATTGTAATTACGGCTTTCCCTCTTCATTAGCTGCCAGGTGTTTGCGCCGTGATGCCGCTGAGGAACTCCGTGGCCGGTGCGTTTCTGATAGCGATAAGCCTCAACTGACAAGGAAGGGAAAGGGATGTTACCCCTTCCCCACAACCTAGCGCGCTCGTGTTGCTGTTTTGCCGGGTACGGGTGCAGCGTCCCGGTGGTGACCGCGCCGCCGGTGTCCGCAGGGCCAGCGGGCAGCCGCCGGTGCCGCCGGCGCCCCGCCGCCCACCGCTCTCAGCAAGGTGCCCTACGGCGCCAGCCCCATGATGCGCAAGGACCGCCGCCAGAGCTCCTCCCGCTTCAACCTGCCCAGGAACCGGGAGCTCGAGAAGCTGCCCAGCTTCAAAGGTCAGTCCCCAGCCCGGTCGGAGGGGGTGAAGGTCATGTGATGTGTTTGGGGATTTAGCGAGGCGAGGTCTTGCCATTCACTGTAGCACGTTCTGTCTTTTCGTATGCGCGCCTCCTATCCTCGGCCATCATTCTGTTCCGTTTTCTGGTGTTTTATTTATTCGCTTTACCGGAGGAGCTGCTCAGACTGCGCTGCTGCGGTAGCCTGTTCTGTTCCGAATCGATCGGCCCAATCCGTGGCCCCGTGTCAGAGGTCGTGGCCACTGCTCTGGCTCGAGCTCGACTCTCGCCCCGTGCCAGGTTGTCACAGTTCTGGCGCCGCGTGAGTTCCTTTTTCGATGGGGATCGAGCGAGCTGCACGATAGGTAGCTCCTCCTGATGGTCTCTTATTCTCCTGTCCGTCCGACGGGCAATCTATCCGATAATCTGACACATTCCCTGTGCCATTTCATCTATCCATCCATTCTTTCTTACGTCCGTCACTCCGTCCGTCCGTCCGCCTTTCCGTCCGTCCGTACGCCCGCTCACCCGTCCGTTCGTGCCGAGTAGGTACGGCCGGCGCGCCCGGCGTCACCACCCGGGGAGCGGCTATCGCGGCGGTAGGGTACCGGCGTGGCGGCCTTGCCCAACTTACCTGGAACCGACTGGCCCCACCGCTGGTGTTGGCTACAGCAGTACAGCACACTGGCCAAGAGGGCCGCTCTTGTCAAGGACTGAGTTGTGCTGATTAGGTGATCTTGGGCACGGAGATGAGCTATGTAGTTCCTCTCATCGTTTTGGATACGACTGAAATGCTCGGTGTCCGTCCCCAGGCAACTTACTGCGATTGAGCAGCATTAAAATTCTAGTGTCAGGTGGGAATAAATGGATCCTCGAAGTTCGTGCTGCTTTACATTCGTCGACAGTGCTTTGCATTTGGTGACATTAAATATGAATATCAATGACTATGGTGTCAGAGCCCGGGTTTCTTCTGCATGTCGTGCGGCTCTGACCCACTACTTTACAACTCGTCCAGTCACACTCTCCGGGTCGTTAACCGACCTCCGGGGTCGAGAGGTGATGCAGTCTGCAGAGGTCGAGGGGTCACGCTGAGACTGTTCAACTGTGTCAGAACGGCCGTCCATCGGCGAAAGGCACTGTGTCTGCCGTCTTTTATGCTGCCCTTCGACCCGTATGCTATTGCCGGCATGTAATTGTATTACCGCTGTCTTTATGGTGTTGACGATCGATTTTCCACTATGGAGATGCTCGTGAATGGTGTGAATGATGGACCTTGGATAGATAATGCAATGCTCTTCTTGGAAAGACTTTCGAATGATCACAGTTCTGGTGCTGAGAATAGAAATGGTGCCAAAGGCAGCACCATAGGATTGCAACTGACAGTCACCAACATTTGTCAACAAAGACGGATCAAATCACCCGGTTTTCTTAAGCGTTTTTTTTTTCTCGGTATTGAAATCGGTTATGTGCAACATTTTGAATTTATCATAGCCTGTCACTGCCGGGAAGCCCGCTATTATCGAAGCACCCGCAGCAGCCATGTGCGCGTCTCTCTCACGCCAGACGTCTCACTTTCATTGTCGGACCGCACTGTGATTGACCCAGTGACCCGTTCGGCGCGAGCGGCTCAGTGTCCCCGCTCTCAGTCCGAGCGGCGGTCGACCGACCGGCAGGGAGCGCAGTGACGTAGGCCCATCGATCCTGACACAGCGGCGGCGGTAGCGGCGGCCTCCCCCCCCCCCCCCACCCCAGTCCCGGCGCATGATGGTCATCTGACACTGATTATTTCGCAGTACGCCTCTATCCGGTGGCGACCAGCCGGCCCAGAGATGAGCGAGTGCAACAGACATGTGGCTCGGTAAACGAGCTAATTGGGGGTGGGTCTGGGAACCGGCCAGCAAGGCAGTTCGAGGGGGAAGGAGGGAATAGGGGTCCATCGAGGGATAGGTCACATTGATAACAGGTTAAGTTTGGACATCAATGGGTGGTTTTTGGTCTCGACAATCCTCCACAGCTCTAAGCATCCCATCTTGATTCGTATCTTGCACATCTTCTTTCTTCAATAGGCGTTAGAATTTTGCTATGTTACCAACCGTACCGTAGACGCTACAATTATCAGCGCTTTGAGCGGTTACGGTCGGCTCAGTAAAGGCAGGAGTGGGCTTGACTGGTTGATACATGCCTCAGACGTCACTCTTATCATCCGTGAGTTGTGACATTGTCTGTCATGGGCGCAAAATGACCTTGTGGTCGGCGCGCCCTTAAGCCCCAATAAACAAACAAACAAACATTGCCTGTCAAAAGGGTTGTATACCAATCAAGTCGATTGAATTGATTGATTTGATTCAACGCGTATTTTGAGTTGATTGGATTGAGTCGATTGACTTTTCGAGATGACTGGTTGACTGACTCGCTTGACTTTAGCGACTGGTTGACTGATTTGATTCCCGAAAATTAGAGTGACTCGTATGATTGAGTCGATTGAATGGAAAGTTGAAATAAGTTTTAGTTGACGAAAAATAAGGACACCAATTGATGACATCAAAGATCACAAAACTACACTGAAAACTGCTTGTCATCACAACTGCAATATGGGGTAGATGGCCAAATAAAGAACAGGGCCTAAACATGAACAGCCAACTTGACTTTGACTTTCAACTGCAATAACTGCTCCAATCCTGTGATAGAACCTGGCGATGCACCTACCTACCTTTCTGCACTCAGCAGGAAACTTTTTTTTAATCCAGATGATAAAGTGCAAGGCCCTATATACTAATAAAGTGTGATTAATTACTAATTCACATCTCCACATCTCCTCAGAAACAACCCACTGAACTCTATAAATATCTGGTTGGTTGGTTGGTTTGGGTTAAGCACCACATCCAGTGGACCAAGGTGCTAACCGGAACTCTCACGCTGTTCCAAGCGGTCAGGTAGCGGCAATGCCACGTGCATTGCCCGGGAATCGAACCCGGATGGCCGAATCTAGAGGCAAGTATCTTACCCCTAGACCGGAATGCTCCCCCTATAAATATCTGAAACCCCTACAAAAATAACTGAAACAAAAGCGCCGTTTTCGTCTCGCTAATTACGTTTACATTAATAGCTAATTTGCTGCATTGTTTAATTTGCAGCAGAACGTTTGTTGATCCTTTTCTCCTGAGAGCCTAGGCATAACATATTTAATATATTTCATTTTCCTTAAAATATTTTACCGAATATTATTAAGTGGTTTTATTTCAAATGAAATAATAATTAAAACGAAATTGGTGTTGTACAACCGATTTATTTTATGATGATCTACCATACTACATGATAATCAATGACGTCATCTTACCAAAAAATCAAAAGACGTAGAATAAGGATTTATAAAAGCTTAGCATACTTCTTGGCAAAACGTTTTCTTTGTTTTTTCGCAGTCGCACCAACTGCAACGGCATTTAATTTTCCTTGTTCTTCTTCCTTTGTCCTTAACTTATCCTGTGGTTCCAAAGTCCCTGTCCTTTCAATTTCCTTTTAAATATATTTTTAATGCTCATCCCTATCCCCCAGTCCTAACAGTTTCAAATTGTATTGCAATAAAATGTTTTGAATTCTTCACATATAACCTATCTACCTTCGTTGGTACTGTTGGTAGCCAGTGACACATCTAGGCAGGTAAGTAGGTACCTACCTGCTTTCCTGCTGTCTTCATAAAGCATACCTAATGAAGTTGTCAAATTTATAGCACATTTTCAACACTTTCATATCAATATGGTGTCAGTGTGGCATGTAACCTAGCTAGGTTCATTATGTTCAGGGTTCAATTCAGAAGAGCTCCGCATAACTCACATAAGAGACAGACGGGGGCTTTACATGGGGTAGATGGCCTGATGACTTAGCTGGAATATGGCCAAAATTAAATTGACAACTTTTAAGTGAAAGGTGGTGATTTGGGTTAAGGGGCGTTTGTTGAAGTCAACTACTGGGTTATTTTGCACCCATTAAATGAAACTTCTGCTCCAATTCTACCCATTGAACCTCAATATCATGATCCACCTGTCCATCACTAGGTATCCTTCCTTATTACATAGAAACTTTGAATGGCATGGCAATTTATAATTTTAAATGACAATATTTTTGTTTCTTCTGTAGGTAGGTAGGTAGATAGGTACACCAGACTGCTATGGACACTTTTCCAAGTTGGTGGGGCAAAAAACCTAATGTATATCTTGGTTTGAGTCGTTTGATTGAGTTGATTGATTCCTTTCATTGTCGCGTTTGAGTCGATTGAATCAATTCCCGAAAACTGCTCTGACTTGATTGATTTGATTGGTTTCCCAAATTTGTCGTGATTGAATTGATTGCTATTGATTGAGTCGTATACAACCCTGCCTGTCAAAGGCAGTGGCGAATTGATCCTTTCGACCTTGAACCTGCACTCATTGTAATATTTCGTTGCAAGATGGCTTTGATTTGCAATTTCCTCGCGACTGCCTTAATTGAAGCAGTAAGATCGCTCGTAAGTCGTTTGAGCTACGCAAATTGCGGGGTCAATATGGCTATCGATCATCAGGTGACCCAGGGCATTATAAAATCAATGCTTTGCCATATGCTGACCTTTAACCCCCGTCCGACTAGGGAGGGGGTAGTCCAACGAGTCATCCCTTCCTTTTCTGAGACCTTTGGCAGCCAATTGCCAGAGATCGCATCAACTAACTACTTGGCTGGCCGCGTCACGCGCGTTCGGTCTCTGTAATGATAAGGGCGCGTTTTTGTCAATCGAGTGTCGCATGTTTGCGTGTGGAGTCACACAAGGCTGAGAGAGATATGAACAGGAGCTGAGACTGAGTTTGGAACTGAGTTATAATCAAGCATGAGTTGAGCAGAAGCTAAATAGGAGGTGTTTGAGGACTGAGCCAGTGTTCATTCGGAGTTGAGTCAAAGCTGAACAACCATACCGAAGACGTCACCCTCGATCGATTTGTCCCCATCGATCTGTTTAATAATCAAACGAGCGT